AAATTTTCTTTCCAAATAAATACATGTACATGACTCACTGTTGCCTGAGTGAAGAATACAATGATTAATTAGAGCTGGGCCAATACTGTGTATCTCCGACAGGAGCCTCCCACTACTCTGGCTGTTCCACTCAAGCTGGTGTTCAGTCCCCACCGTCCCTTTGACCCCTCAACGTTTGTACCCGACGTTTGTATTGGGCACTTGCTACTGTTACCAGGCCCAGCAAGCATATGTACGGTCTAACATGGCTGAGCGTTGTTTTTAAAGCTAATGACCTTAAACATAGAGGCTATCCCACCTGTGTAGGCAAAGAGCTGGTTTTCTCATAGAGGAAAAAACTGCAGGTAGCCTGCAGGATACCCTAACCACCGAAGACGTACTGGAGAGCTGGGAAGCCCCTCCTAGCACTGAAAGGGCATGAAGGTGAGCAATCACATTTTAGGGGCTCCAAAAAAATTTTCATTTCTCCCACCAGCAGACCCACATGTAGACCGCCAAACCAAAGAGCTGGTATCTAGTCAAAGGGGTTTATTAATTAGTGTGTACAAATTTCAATGTCATTTTTACACAAGCAGTGCAAGTATTTTCAGAGATGTAGAGCCAAATGTTTAAACATTATAAAAGATCTAATTTGTCAAGTGTAACTATCAGCTATCATAAAAGCATTTTAATATATGGTGCTGCATTGACTTTCATAATTTTGGATTATGTCAACAGTATTACATAATTAAGATGATACAGTAAAATCTTACTGCATTTCTAATTGAGCCTCAAAAGAGTAGGAGTCTTTTTTATTTTAAAAAATGAGCTCCTATATGAATTTTTCCCCTACTTTAGCTATACTGCTCTCTAACTTTCACACAAATGATGATCTATTAAGATGCCTGTGTTTGTTAGTTGTCCAGCAAAAGAAAAAATGGATTATGGTATAAAGTAAAGGGAACAACCAGCAGCATTTTTACTGCGCTGACACCGAATTGGTTAATTTCTATTGATTTCTCTGAGATACAGATATAAAATAACAGTAAGTCATAATTCATCTATAAATTCATCATTTACAAATTTTTTCCTCTCCTTCCAGCCTTGCTTCAAAGACACCCCTACTTGTAGATAGAACTAAAGCCAATATTTTTATTAATAGGTATTTTACAAGTGCCTAAACATTTGCAGTACATATAACAAATGATTATAGCACATGACCTGGCTTTAAAAACAAACCAAAAAAAAACCCCGCAAAGCCTTTCCCCTCTCCTTCCCCCGCTGTGGCAAAGCAGCACAGGCAGGATGCTGTGGTACAGTGGCAGGAACAAGCACTGGAAAAGCAGGAAGTCTTTATATCCGTATTGCTGCCAAAGCTAACATTTCGTCAGGCCATGGCCAAAGACAATGCGATTTTGCACACACGTATTTTAGGGCTGAGCGCATGCGCATGCGCACACACGTACACACAGGAGCAGTTGTGACCAGCTGAGGCCGTGAAGGAAATTCATAACAATTCGTTTTAGCTTACCTTTATTTTTTTTTTTGTTGGTCATGTTACCAAAAATATTCTGTAAATAAATACATTAATGGGCCACTTACTTGTAGATAGCAATTACTTAAACCAGTGTTCGGCTTTTAATGCACAGCCATGCATTTCTAAAGAAGAGTGTTCTTGCTGTGTATTACTATAGATCCAGATTTTAAATTGAGATTGGTCACTATTGATTCTGTTATAGTTTATTATGATAGAACTATACATTAGACAAGATTCATAAAAATTGCTGAAATACATTAACTTGCCTGCATTTAGCCAAGATCACCTTGCGTCCAGCTAATACCACCTTTACTGGCACAATGCCTTTTCAAAGGCCGTTTTCAAGCAAGGAAATGCTTCTCGGGAAGGTGGTGCTGCCCTCCCAGCAGAACGGCACACAGCCATCGGGGCTCTGGAGCACCAGCCTCGGAGGCAGCTCCCGGCCTGCAAACCCAGAGGCCCGAGCTGGCCATCCTGGCAGCCAGCACGCGACGTGCAGCTGGGCTGTCACACCGAGGCGCTGGTCGCCCACCTGCCCTGGCCAGGACCAAGTCCTCAGAGCATGCGGACAGCCAAAGCCCTGCTCCTCTCTGTCGTTTTCATTTGGAAAAATAAATAAATAAATAAATAAATAACCATATCCTCAGAAGAGGCAAAGGCAATGGCCCTCTTAGACTCCTGGGTAGATGATCACAGCAGGCTAGTTCTGGTCAGCTCACTGTTTCTGATGATGAGGGGAGAGTTGACCATTGCATTTCCCACTGCTCTGTGGGGAAGTCTACCCACCAGGCCATAGGACAAGGTTCCTCCCATACTTGCCTGTTGAAACTGTTCCACTGTTTAAAATATAAAGGATGCATTTGAAATACAAGGTGTGTAGCTGAATCTGGAATTATGTCTATGAGAAATTAAAAAAAAAACAAAACACAACCAGAAGCCCTCAAAAGCACTCATCACCAGCGTTCACTGTTCTGTATTACCACACAGGAATGACTGTGGGAGTTTGGTAATTTTCTGAAAATGCCTTCAGTGATCTGTAGCGGACATGGACCTACAGTGGCTAGGGAACGTTTATTTTCTTGCTCTTTGTATCTTACTTTTACATATAAAAGACAGTTCTGCTAGACTTGTCTTCTCTCAGTAAACAACCCCATCTCCTTCAGCCTTTGATAAAGATCATCAGAAACCCAGAAAACATGACACATAGTTTCCTCTTTTCCTTGCTGATTTTCTTCAGCTGCCGTGCTTGGAACTAGACAAATGCTAACCTGGGCCTTTTCACACTGCATGGAAGGGAAAAATCACACGCGTGAGTCTTGTCCCCAGGACTGGGGCGGGGGGAGAGTTAACCTTCCCCCCCCGCTTTTTCTCAATAGCATGAGATGATTGACTCAATCTCATGTAGCAGACATGTCTGTGCAATGCTCAGAAAAATTACCTGGTTTTCCTACAGGAAGGTACCTAGAGTACACCGCTAACTGCAGCTATGTAGATATACCCAATGCCCCCGTTTGCTTTTTTCTGTATGCTTGTAGCTTATACCTGACAACGTCACGTGCTATTGTCAAAAGTAGTGAGCAGGTCAAAGTACATTTTTTTTCTCTCCTAGAACGGCTGTCATGTCTTATGGGCAAAGAACACTAATTTGCAATCTATGAATGTTCTCCGTAATTTGACATACTAGTATGAAAGGTGGCTACTCAGCTATGTTTCTTCTCAAGTAACATTGCTTACAATTCCACATTTCACACATCTGTCTGTCAGAAACAACTAGGTAAGTTTTTGTGTCAATGAAAATCACAGCCAGATCCCTATGTAGAAGTGTGTCATTTGGAATATTAGTAAGGAGATGATAGGGAGTAAAAAGAATTAAATGAAATCTGCACTTTCATATGATGTAAGCAATTGCAACCAGCCAAACTTAGTGGTTGTGCTGTGCTTTAATTTTTCCAAAAGAAAGTATTAGTTAGAAGTGTGCTCAATAGGTTGAGCTGACACATAAAAAGCTCAGTGTCTTGGTTTGTCAATATTTATCAGGAGCTACCGAACAAGGACTTAAGAACAGATTCAGTCTCTGAAGTTTATCAGTTCCCCAAATCTCATTTGCCAGTACTTTGACATTTAAAACTATTCTGGGTAGGGCAAATGAGAAATCAATGATGTGCTCATCAACCCAGTATCAATGTAGATCGCCCACTGAAGAAAAATAAGCTAAAATTGTCTTTATGAAGAATAAATAAAAATGCAAAAACTTTAACATTTCAAAGACTAACAGATTTAGTTACATTAAGTCTTTCTAAAATACATTTTACCAGAGAGTTCATCAAAGAGCTTTCTTCAAAATCTGCACTTCTTAGGAATAATACCAGAGTTTGATTCATCAGCCACTTACTCAGAAACACTGTAGTATTCCAAGGAATGTTACAAGTCCTTTTTTAAAAAAAGATTTAGAAATAAGATCTACTCATCTCAGGGGATCCAGAAGGAATAGAAACCAAAATGAGTAAAAAACAAATGTAGAGTTTAAGTTCAGGTGCTGCAGTGTTTTGATCATACTTGAGGTTTTTAGGAAGAGTGCAGTAGCACTTGCAACTAAAAGTGCAGCAGTTTTTTGGTACCATTTAATGTTTTTGATTTTGGGGGGATCATTTAATTGTTTTGATTGTTTTTTTGATTGATCATATGGCAATGTGACTACTGCAGTTATTAGAATGATTGCAGTAAAAATAGTATGAAAAACCCCACATTTGTACACTGAAAGGCCAGGTGGACTCTTCCGGGAATTAATTTGATCACCTGTAAAACAGAGGCCATCATGTTTTCTTGAACCAATATTTGGTTAAGCTAAAATGTATGTTTTAGGGGGGAAAAAAAATCAATTTTTTTCTGCTGTATTAGATGTTATGGTTTGAAACTACACATCCGAAGTTGGCTAAGTCAGTTAACCATGACCTCTTACTGAAAAAATCTAGCAATTAATATAAACGAAATTTTGAAGGCCACACACAGGTGTGTGTGGGGGTGTGTGTGTGTGTGTGTGTGTATTATATATATTTGTGGGAACTATATGCCCAATAGACTATATTTTAACTTGTCTTGATTTAACTTGTTTTTTTAACTTGTATTGATTTAATTCAGGGTGTGTGTGTGTATAAATATAAATATGCACATACAAACATGAGCTTATAAATAAATAAGCTTTGTGCCTTTACCCCATGAATGAGCGAATGAACATGTGATTACTCATTCCACTTGATTCAAACCAGATTTCAGTCACGTATTTTAAAAAGGAATATTTTGGTTAATTTTAAAATAAGTTCGGGATTTTTAACATGCAATAATTAGGAAAATGTTTTAATACCAACCCACCCTCTTTATTAAGTAATTTCTTCAAGTATTTTTAATAGTGCAAAATACTGTTTTGCATTAGTACAATAACTATGGGAATTCACAGTCAAAAAAAAATCTTAAAAGATTTCCAAAGTCAAACAAAAAAATTTTAATACTGTATTTTTAGCAAGAACATTTTTAACAAAGAATGTGTACTTTAACTTAATATGGTACAACAGAGAAACCATACTTAAAAGTTTCCATTATCTAACACTCTACTGCATATTCATTTTTTTCATCTTAAAAGACCAAAAGCCAAGCTGAACTGAGCATAAAAAAGCATCAATTATAATCCTCATATTACGTCAGCTATTAGGGTTTAGCTCACACTTTTGAATTGGTCATCTAATGAAAGGACAATTTTTACATCATTCTTTTAAAAAATGTACACACATTTCTTTTTAAAACGTAATATATATCGAGTATCTGCTTCAGTAAACAAAGCTTAATTTATAAACACAATCGAAACAGCTCCATGTTGAACAGTTTCAGTGATAAACTGGACTTGTATGATGTACAGCCAGTGAGGACCTTTGTGGCTTAAAATCATTGTGCCATTGCTATACAGTAATAGCTACCTCCTTAGGAAAAAAAAAAAAAGTTCTTTGGGGGCGGTGGGGAGGGAAGGGGAATAATTCCTGTATGTGCTTAAAAATACTAAAACTCCTTTCTATCTCCTGGGACCTAAAAATGATCTGTTGCAACAGGCTTGGTTTGGTATGGTAAGCTTGTAAAAAGTCTCAATATTTCTTAATGACAATACGGCAGTTTTCGATGCAGCAACAGTAAATTGCTTGAAATTGTCCTTCAAGTTTCATGCTACAAATCCTGTTCTTCACACAGTACTGAAGGCATCAAAGGTTTGAAGGGACGTTTTTCATGAACTATATAGTCTTCAAATAGTGATCATTATACATTTTTCAACAATAGGTGTTTCCTTCAGTACATAATAGTAGGTTTGATGTATGTTCTGTTTTCTGGAGGAAAAAAAAAAAAGAAGAAGAAAGGTCAACAACATAGGTAAGCATGTTATAATTAATTTCAGCTTAGGTAGGTTTCTTTCATTTGTTTCTGGACTTTTTTTTTCTCAAGACATATTAGTATATCTACCAGTGATATAAATGATCCATTGTGTGACTATGTTTTACATCCGAAAAAAGAGGCATCTGACGACAAAAGTCTTTTAAGGCCCTAGATAACTGAATTTGGTTTGTGTTACGCAGAGAAATGGGCCAGTTACCAGAGCACCGACTACCTTCTAACTTGGTAGTATGGGCGTAGACACTTAGTTTTTCAGTCTGTGCTAAATTTACAGTAGTTTCTTGCAATATTAATAAATGTTTCAAGGGTTGTGTGTTAGGTTTTTACACACCTATTCCATATTTTAGAACAGCAGCTTTACAAGAACTACTTTCCTCTGTATCCCCGCTGGGTGCCCTGCTTCGTATCTGCCACCTTCCCTCGCTGCAGGGTCACGCTCCCACGACAAACTCCGTTTGGGCTCTGCCTGCCTGCGCTGCACCCCAGCCCCGGGGGACTCTCTGGTCCTGCCTCCCAGGGCACTTGCCAGCCAGCATTTGCTTAATAGAGACTATAAATATTTTGATTTGGATTTTCTGTGGATTCCTTCCTTTATGACATGTTTTTCAGTTTGTTTTTCATCGAAAACTCGTTTTTCTTCTTTTTTTCATAAGGCAGCCTGTGATGCCTTGCATATAAGATAGACAGAGTAACATGAAAATCAGCTGTAGGTAAGCTTTGCAACATACCAGTGTTACATGCACAAAACCTTCTACAGAATAGTGTGTTAAAATAAAATCACATCGCATTAAAAATGTAATAGAAATAAATCAATATCTGTTCTGTGGAAAACTGTTCTTTCATTCAGAAACCTCCATGTTTCTTTGCAAATTATTTTTCCTTATTTAGGGAAACAAGCAGAAAGACACTTAGTTCCTTCATTAAAAATATTCCCAGTTATAGTACCTATCATCAACTGTGATTTTTCACATTAAACAACTTTAAGCCCAGAGAAAAAATAAATATTGAAATGCCCACAGAAATGAAAGTTAACAAGAATCCATATTCTTGTTCATTATACAATGAATCACAAATTCACCAGGCTAAACCCGCAAGTACTGATCTTGAAGATGATAGCAAAATGATAATATTGAGAAGCATTTTGTCTAATGTTGACATCTACCCCATTACTGCTTTACATATGCCAATACCGAACGCTCATAAGGAAAGAACAAGTATTGACCTGCTAACTGACACTGATCCTTGGAGCAATCTCAAAGTTTGCCACATTTCAATTTCAAAATGCATTTCAGCTATAATATGAGTGATTTATCATTTAGCAGTAGCTGTCAAAGCAACCTCCTAGATAAAACAAAAACATCTGGAACCATAAACAGAGGAGAGCAGTAGCTGAATTTTAATCCAAATCCGACATGTTCACTTCATTAGGAACAGGAAACAGCTAATTAGTAATTGAATGTTTCATGGTTTTAAGGAGGCTCATACTCTCCAAACAGAGATGATTTAATATGTATTTTGGATGTAAACAAGAGTAAAGATCAGGAAGAGCCGGGGACATAACATCTCCAGAGGAATGTTTGGGAGCATGGGAACCTCCAAAGAAGTGACTAAAATAAGTTTCAGGCCTTTGGCTGATTAAAATTATTGTCTTCTTAAGATTTACTGGTGCAAATACTAAACTCGAGGGAGGGGTTAAGCAGAATTGCAAATCTTGAACATTGCATTTTTTTCTTTTTTTGTTTTTTTCTCTAGTTATTAAGAAGCTTCATGATTTCCTTACATAGCAGGCTGTACATGGTCTTGCTTATATTAATGCTGTACTTCTAAAAAAAAAGCAGCTACTGAGAGAATCTACAGGGCAGCCTGACTGCCCTCAAAAATCACAGAAATATATATTTGCAGGCCATCCCAAAGGCTTAACCTCTACTGCAGTGGCTTTCATGTGAGTCAGTAACAAACCAGTTTTGCATTCTGCAGAGAAGTAACTGTCTTCCTGGACAGCAGGCCAAAGCCTTAAAGGTCATAAAGCATCTGATACCATCAGTCTACTCTCTTCGAGGAGCTGGGATCAGGAACCAGATTTACGAAGGTATCTTTCTGCCTAATCACCTATACTGTGTGGGATTTACAAAATTGCTTACTGCATTAGTCTGTGTATTAGTTACGGGTTGCAGCAGAAATTAGGTAGGTCACTCACTTTTTAAACGGCCATTAGGCATCAGCTGCATCTTCTGATACCATGTCTGATGCTTGATATTTGCATAGACAAAGACAGAGAGAACATGTATGCGTGCACATTTGAAGCACCACCCTGAGTGACCTAGATTCTATGCACAAATAAGAGAGTAGGAACCCACAAATTAGAGACTGGGAATCCACATTCAAAATAAGCGTTATTTGTCAAAAGTTCTCTGGGATTAGTAAAACAAGATGATGGAATAGTCCCTTATCCTTCCCTACAAACACATTTTTTAGTTGGCTGATACTTGATAGGTACTGAGGACATTTCCAGGTTAAAAGCACTCTAGAAGGTGTTAACATCAAGTAGGTCACAATCCTTCCAACAACTTGTTAGGGGAAAAAACCCACAAAATGAAATTGCTGTCTGTGATACCTGGTTTCTGCAAAGCGTGCACTACTAACATCAGCTAGAACCAGTGCATGTCTTTTTACAGCCACGACCACAAATTCCCTCTCACCTAAGCAAGTAGATTGAAAATTGTTAAAAAGCCATCTTTATTCAGCCACTTGAAATGCGGTATAAAATGAGAGGATGTAACATTCTGTGATTCTTTTCTCCATTTGCAAATACTGTATTGCAAATTGCAAATTGTATTGCAAATTGTGTTGTACTTTGCAAATAATTAGCAATATTTGACCCCCACTTGGTCAAGTATATTTGGAGATCAACACTACTACAGATTCAGACAATTCTTTTCAAACACATATAGGGAAGGGAAGGTGTGAAGCAGCAGACACAATGCTCAGCTGGACTGCTGTATCAGCAAAGATTTTGGTTATTGGTCATTACACACTTCAACGGTTGTACTTCATCAGGCCATTAATGACGACGTCAAGTAACCCACACTGCAGCAGTTTTAGAAGTTACTTCAGACGTTTACAGCTGCCCAAACTTCTCCCCCACCTCCCGCACAGGCGCACGCATGCTTCCCTCGCTGGAGCCAGCGGGCGGAAAATCCTGTGCCTCAGCCATGTCTGGCACCACAGTTTTACATATTGGTGGAGCCAAAGTTACAGTAGGAAACCGAAATTTTTAAGGAAGCTATGGAGTATTAGAAGTAACTCAATTTACCTGGCTTAAGATGCCAGGTAAATGATGATACCATAAATATGGTACCATACCTTTATGATGCTTAAAGATTCGCTAAAATCCAAGCTGAATGTTTCCTAAGGATTTATTTTTATTCTTGATAAATTGTATTTTATATTATTTTAAAAAGTATTTTTCAAACTGAGGTAAGACGTAGTCACTGAGGGTACTGTAGGATGGTTCTGAATGGACTGGCTATTTAAGCTTTGGAACAGGTTTCGATTTTTCATTCAGATACCCTTTATTTCTCAAGGAAAGTTGAAAGAAGGTATCTCGAATACCTGTAAGAGAGAAGCTAAGTACAAAAGCCATAGCACAGGGTAGCCACCTAGGAGATAGTATCGATCAATAACCCAAAAGGGCATAATAAAATATTTCCTTTTTTTAATAAAGCTCTTAATTAATCTCCAGAAATCAAAATACATTTTTGTTGCTCTGCAATAAACTTAATTTAGCATCAACAACGTCATACGCCAGCCGCCAATGAGGAATTAAAGTGTTAAGAGCATTTTTGACACCAGTTGTACAGAAAATACAATGTGATGCTGTCAAATTCATCTTTTTGAAGAATATTCACTAGCTATCTCCTTAGTGTAGCTGCCTGCAAACTACATACCATTTTATAGCATTTTACTGTACTATATAGCAAAGATTTGAATAAATCTGTGTGCAATAAATGTATTCTTTTATTAGGTTTATCCCTTAATCAAATATTCATTTATGTGGGCTTCATTCTATTAAAAATGAAATTATACAAAGGTGAGCAAAAGTGTAGATTTACAGTAGCTTAAAGCCTAATCTCATTCTCTAGGGGTAATATTGACAATATAAAAACTGTGTAAATGATATTCCCTAACACTAAAATATGCTTATGAGCCCCCTGTGCATGTTATACTGCTTTACAACCTACAGTGAAATGCATGACTGGCTTAATAAGCAAGACATTTAGAAAGGATTTTTTCCCCTTCACAATGAATAACATGAGGAAAGATCTCACAATTTCTCTGTGAGCCAAAGCCTACGTTAATAATTGTAATTTTCCCTGGGGATGATGTTTTCTTCCCTAAGGTGATAGTTCAGGCTATCCATGTAGCTCTGGTGCTCTCTTTTAACAATAACATCATTTGTCTTTTTTTTTTTTTTTGGAAGGGTTTAAGGTCTGTGTAAAAAGACAAATCCAACAAATCCAAAAGCAATTGCCGTACTTATTCACGTTTTTCTATTCTCTTTTTCTTTTTTCAGGCTATTTTCCCCCCTTGCTCTCAGGGCAATCTGCAGACATCTAATTGAACTTTCTGAATCATTTTGTTAGGCTTTGTTTGTACTGGCTTTGTTTGGGGTTAGTAATGCAGTTGTATTTGCATAAAAGTACTTTAAAATAAGATTTCCTCCCAATTTTCATGAAGAAATACACCCTGGTAATGTTGGTGTGCGAATCCAGTCAAGGAAGTGAAGCAACTTGACGTAGCCAACCGGCTACAATTCAACATTACAGCTACTCTTTAGAATTGTTCAAATAATTTTAGCACACTGTAAATTGGAGGAGAGGGAAGGAAAACAAGGAAGGAAAAGAAGGAAGGAAAGCAAGGAAGGAGATTTGGGATA